AAGGTGTGAGAGCAAAGTGCTTTTTTTGATTCTCAAAGACAGCTGAAAATGCGAAACGAGCTCAAGTAGGAAAACAACGCAATATTGATTTTGGAGATAACTTTGTGCTGAATAGCTTCCTTTCCCCACCTCAATCTAGCCTATATCTTTCTCTATTCCGCTCCATAGCCCAGGAGGCAGGTCTGTATGCTCTAGTAGTACATCATGCTGGATTTCCTTGCTTTCCGGCTTCCTGCAGAGCTTAGCCAAAGTGAAGACTGTCAAGAGTCTGATGGGATGAAGGAGAAAAAATTTGATATATTTATTTCTCTCGGGTCCCTGTTTGGGGAGCTGGCTGGGTCACTGCTCAGCTGAAGGCCACAACTCCTGGCCATTAGCTCATGAGAAAATAGCTTGTAATGACATCCTCAGGCTGGCAGACGTTCAAATCTTTCTCCCTCAAAGGGCCCGAAACCAGCCCGGTGGGTGGAGCAATGCTGGTTTGAAGTAGAATCCGTTTTACCAGGCACTGCTGGTGAGCCTCACCTAACAGTAGAGTGATCAGAGTGGGGAACCCAAATAGAAAACCACGTTTAAGGAGACGAGAGAGACTCTCGCCCTATTGAAGGCCACCTAGTATTTCCCAGCCTTGGCTGAAGGTCTGAGGAACAGGTACCCTGAACCCGGCAAAGCTCAGCAAACCTCCCTAGGGCGCTGCTCATCCTATACATAATTTTCTCTTTCACAAAAGTTGACTCCCTGCTCCTTTCCTGGAGAGGAGATACCAACAAATAAAAGAACTGAAAGGTGAGGGGATTAAACAGAAGGTCTGGGGTTGGTCAGCTCCCACACAGAAATCTAAGCGGTTTAAGTCATTTTGACGCCTGACAGCTACCACTTAAGGCTAACAATCTGAAAGTCAAGATACATATTTTCTGTTGGAATTTTTCTTCTGCTTTTAAATCTATGTAGAAGATTTGAGGTACCGTTTCCAGCTCTGCAACCTGAGGCAACTTGCTGATTTCACAATGGCTCAGTTTTATTTTTTCAAGGTAAAATGGAGATATTAATACCATATTAGTAGATAATATTGTTATCTTCTTTTTATACTTAAAAAAAAAATTGGGATGTATTGAGGACTTAGAGAGATCATGGAAGGAAACTGTTTAGCCTAGATCCTGGCACATGCCTGGTGGAGTGGACCAATGCGGGGATTAAGAGGGAGATCTGCAATATTTTCAACAATAAAATTAAAAAAAAAAAAAAAAAGTC